TGTGCTTCTTTCTGAATTCTCTCTTCTCTCTCTCTCTCTCTCTCTCTTTCTCTCTCTCTTTCTCAAATTAATGGCATGCAAGCTTTTGCATTTTGCAATGCTAAAGAGAGACACAGTTTTAAGAACCTTGTGTCAAGATAACACCATAAATAGAAAAAAAAAATGCAGTATACATTTCAGCATGTGCTTCCAGAACCCTTGACAAAACTGCAGAGTCCTTTTCAGGGGCTGAGAACACGGACATAACTTACAAACGTCGCGGTCGCCATCTCTAACTGTCTCCACACAGTTGCTGTCAACGTGCAGGGTGAATACAAATTAACAGACGAGAAAGAGACCGCCAGAACATTAAATGAAGCTTGGCCCCACCTCATCCTGTAGGGGACGCTAGATACAGGGAGATAGTTTCAGTGATATGCAATTATCTTCAAGCAGGTTCACGGAGCACTTACCTCATTAAAGAGGAAGAATTTTCTTATTCACAGAAGCATACAACAATGCACTAAGTGCTGCTGTTTACTTTCTCAATTTTCTAAATTTTTCATTTGTTCATTTTTTTTTTTTTTTACAGACAGTTCCTTGCTCTGTCACCCTGGCTAGAGTGCAGTGGCATCATTGCTGCTCACAGCAACCTCAAACTCCTTGGCTCAAGGGATCATCCCGCCTCAGCCTCCCATGTAGCTGGAACTACTGGCACATGCCAACACATCCAGCTAATTTTCTTTTTTATTAAATTTTTTGTAGAGTTGGTGGGGGTGGACGGGTAGGTGGGGGTCTCACTATGTTGCCCAGGCTGGCCTTCAACTCCTGACCTCAAGTGATCCTCCCACCTCGGCCTCCCAAAGCACTGGGATTACAGGTGTGAGCCACCAAGCTGGGCTCTTGCCTTAAATTTATTATATATTGCCTTTTAGAGCATTTCTATTTATTCTGCATTTTTACATTTCCCTCTTTTATTTCCAGTTGTAGATAAATAATCCCATTTTCACCTAGTTAGCTCATTATTATTGGCCTAGGATGTTTGTTATTACACATAACTATGCATGCCAGGGAGGTGTGGGGGCGTTTTAAAATTAAACTGACATTATAATTATCAATGCGATATAATTTAACTTACACTTGGTTTCCTGAGGGGGGGGAGTCTTCATGCATAAAAACAGAAAAGCCAAAGAATGTTCTTTAAAACACATTTAGCTTCAAAGCGCTGAATAGAGAAACGCCATTAAAACCCAGATAACATTCTTAATTATGCTGCAAATTGTTTTTACCTTCAATCACCAAGGGCAGAAATGCTATTTCCGCAGAGATTTAAGTAAATTAAAGTGTGTCCACACAGTGAAATATTATACAGCCACTGAAACAATGACGTGTCATATATTTCCATATGTGTACACATATACACACAAACACATACAGCAACACAAGGAGTACAGTATAAAGCTTACAAGTTTAATCTTAAGAGACTTGCTGATCTTGTATTCCACCTCTTATACTTACTAGATATAGGCGAATTTTTTAACCTCCATGCCTCATTTTTTTCATCTATAAAATGGGACCAATAATAGCACTACCTTTACAGTATTACGAGGATTAAACTAACTTAAAGTGCTTAGATAGAATAGTGCCTGACACATAGACAGCCACCAAAGTAAAACAAAACAAAACAAAACCCCACGATCTTTTTCCTAGAGTGGACAGGTGCTCACTATAAATATTTATACAAACGCCAGTAATCTGTTGGTTCTAGTCTGTTAGTAGTGAAGGTGTCTTGAGTATTTTGGGATATAAATGAAAAGGAAGCTGTGGCTTAGTCATTTTTATTATACCTAATAACTACAGAGAAATGCATTCTCCATCTTTACTTACACATACACTCATAAGTGTATATGTGTAAATATGTAAATGCATATGATAAATATGTATATACCTCTATATGCATGTATTTATAGGATAGGTATGTATATTTGGGATATATATATATGTGCACACATAAATAAATATGAAATACAATAAGCCAAAATCAGATGGAACTGCAATGGCAGCATACCTTGGTCAATAAAATTTATATTTCTGGAAGCATTCCAGATAGTTAAAGTAAAAACAATAACTGAATAGTACAAGGGAGATAGTTTCAGTGATATGCAATTATCTTCAAGCAGGTTCACGGAGCACTTACCCTCATTAAAGAGGAAGAATTTTTTCTTTCTGAGGGATCTTTAGGATGTTTCTAACTTGTCTATGTGTGTGCTGTGATAACTGTCATTCACTGAAACATCACATTGCTATTAACTGATCAACACTTATTTGCATATATGGAAATAACAGTCATTAGAAATCAAGCAGGTGGGAGGGAGATGAGGGGATGGGTAAATTCACAGCTAATGGGTACAGTGCACACTATCTGGGGGATGGACACACTTATAACTTTGACTGAAACGGTGCAAAAGCAATTTATGTAACCAACACACTTGCACCTCCATAGCATTCTGAAATAATAATAAAAATAGTGAAAGCAATCATCATTTTAGCATATTCTTTATTCCAATCTTTCTATTTTTACCTGGGCTACCCTATTCTCTTTTTGTTCCCTTATATTATTCCCTATGTCCGTTAACATGGGGTTTGAGTCATTCTTCTTCTGGTTTCTTAAAGTGGAAGCTGGGACTCAATGATTTAAGATTTTCGTTCTTCTTTAAAATAGTCATTCAGAGACATACTAATTTCTAAGTACTGCTCTAGTGTCATCCTAAAAATTTGATACATTGTGCTTTCATAATCATTTTGTTTAATGACCTTCTGACTCCCCTCCTTTGTTTATCTGCATAAGTATTTTACGAGTGTTATTTATTTAACAGTTTCCATTATTTGTGGATTTTCCAGACATGTCTCAATTATTGATTATATTTTAATGTTGTTGTGGATAGAGAACACACATTCACTGGATTTTCTTTCAATTTATTGAGAATTGCTTTTAGGCTAAAATATGGTCACCTGGTATATATACCTGTGAGTATATATACTGTGTCCATTTGAAAACTTATATGTATCTTAGAAGTGAGCTCAAGTATACTTGTAGGATACAAAAATACTGAAGTGCAAAATGGGTAAATTTTACAAAGTTTCGCACCCAAACAAACACTGCCAGTCATGGGAAGCAGGAGAAAAATACAGCCAATAAGGTAAAAAGAATTGGTCAATCAAAATAGACCCAGAAATGACACAGATGCTAGATTATGCAGTCACTGGCATTAAGCAGTTACTATAATGGTATTTCATGTGTTCATAAAGTTAGGTATAGACACAAAAGATACATTAAAAACCCCAAATCAAACATCTAGGCATGAAAACTACAGTGTGTGAGATTGAAATTGCATTGAGCAGAATTAACAGATTAGTTTGCAGGAAAAAAAGATGACTTGTGAATTTAACCACTTCGGTAAGGCGCTCGCCGGCCGGGAAACCTCGCCCACAGCCGGCACTCACAGTCCGCACGGTAGTTTGTGCTGTGCATTGACGAAGGATGGGTTTTGCTCTTGTGTGATGAGGAAAGCTTGAAAGCACTGAAAGCTTGTTTCACTTTACAGGCAAATTTACTTGTAATGTAAATATCAGAATAAGTAACATATACATATATGTTTTCATTATTTTATTTTTAAATGTTCACAATTTTATTTTGATAAATAAAAAATTAGAAACGTCACATCAAGGCTGTCGGCTAAAGTCGATGCTCGGCTGTGCTCGTTCATCTGTGGCTGTCGACTATAGTCAACGCTCGTACCAGAGTGTTTAAAGAGTTAACAGTAAAAACCCTATTCAAAAAATTTTAAAAACACCCGGAGAAAAGAGATTTGAAAGAATGAATGCAGGATCTATGAGCTGTGGGAGAATTTTAAGTTATACCACGCTAATATTAATCAAATAAAATTTGGTATGGCTGTGACAGTGGTGTTAGTTTTACACAATAAAAGGATCAAAAGTTTATAGAAAGGATATAAAGTCTTGAACATTTATGTACCTAGTATCAGAGCCTCAAAATGCACAAATCAAAAGTTTACAGATATGCTAGGACAGTCAGAGAAATTCATAAGTTTATGTAGGAAATTTAAATATCAGTCCCTCAATAATTGATAGAAAAAGTAGACAGAAAAACCAGTAAGCATAACAGAGATTTGTTTAACAATATCAATCAAAATGATCTGATGTTTATTTGTAGGAATGTCCACCCAAACATAGTTCTTTTCAGGACAACATTAAAAAAATAACCTGGGTGATGAAAGTTTTCTTAATAAGTTCTAGAGGACTGAGGTCACATCCATAACATTTTACTTTTAATAAGATATTTTTGGACCCTCACGGAAGGTTAAAAGGAGTTCTCATTTAAATTTGCATAGGGGGTGCTTGGCTAGCTGTGTCTGTTTTTACACTTAAATTCACAGAGCTCATTCCTACAATAATTTCAGAAAAGACTAAAAGATAAAATTACCTATCCACTAGTTTTAGAGTGTTTTTTTTTAATCTTTGCCTTTTACATAACAAGCATCAGTGACTACTGCAGAATAAGAATTGGGTGAAATGCATGGACTTTTACACTAGCCAGATTTTTGCACCCTGGGAAATTCCTACAGAAACCCAAAGACTTTTGTTTTTCTTTTTTCTCCCGAAGAGACGACATCTGCAGGGATTTCATCGGAAATTTCAGGCATGACAACAAGCTCTGATCAACGTCAGACTTCAAAGGACTAAGAGTGGAGCACCCGTATTAAAGGAAACAGGCTTTACCCTGAGGGGTTGGGAATTGTGTATTAGCAGACAAATGTCACACACATTGTTACACGAAGAACAGCAATGACAGACTGGCTATGGGCCCCATGCCACCCACGTACATGGGCCCTGATGTCACTGCGCATGCGCACCGATGTCGTTGCACATGCTCACCGATGTCACTGCATATGCGCCCTGATTTTTACGTCACTGCACATGCGCCCTGCTTGTACGTCACTGCACATGCGCCCTGCTTCTACGTCACTGCACATGCGCCTCGATGTCACTACGCATGCGCCCTGATGTCACTGCACATGCGCCCTGTTGCCGCACATGCGCCGTGGTGTTCCCGCGCATGCGCCCTGGTGTTGCCGCGCATGCACCCTTCTGTTGCCGTGCATGCGTCGCCCTGAGGCCTCGTCACAGCTCAGGCTCAGGCTCTTCCTTCCCCTCCGAGGAGCGGCTGTCCTTCATGCTGACGACAAGGGTTGGGGGCTCCTCCCTGGACTCCCCCTTACTACCCGGGAAGGCTTTGGCAAGCCTGGAAGTCAGTGCGTCCCAGTAGTTGGCTGCCGCCTCCGGGTCTTCCGGTGGCGCGCGGGGCAGCCGCCAGGCCTCCCGGGGGACCAGCCCTTCGGGATCCGCTATCATGGCCATGGAGTCGGCCACGGAGTTGGGGGGCACCAACTCGATGGGTAGAATCTCCGTGGAGGGGAGGGTCTTCAGAAGGACGGACGGGCTCACGTTCTTCCAGCCTCCCTCGGCTCCTGCGGAACAAGGGGGCGTCCGTCGGCAGCACGCGCGGGGACAGAGCCCGGTTCTCCCCGCGCGGTGCTCACGCCACCCTCCCGGGCCAGGCCCAGAGCCCTCCTCCTCCTCCTCCTCCTCCTCCTCCTCCTCCTCCCAGCTGGCCTAGCCAGAGGCCTCCCGAGCAAGGCTGCCCCCTGTCCTGGTGGAAAGCGCGTAGGCGTGAGCGCATCGCCTACACAGGTTCGTCTCTGCCGTTGTCACTCAGAAGTAAACAATGCATGCAGAGCAGGGCATGAGACACTGAGGGGCGTCTGAAAAATAGCAAAAGAGTGGAAGCCCGTGCAGTGCTCACGCCCCGCCTCCATGGCTGCAAGGTGAGTGTGCAAAAAGGTTTTCCCTCTCCCCAACTTTTCACAAATGTCTGGTTGACTGCGTGCGTGCACGCGGCGCGCGCCTCTGAACAGTTTACTGCGTACACGTGGCGTGCATCTCCAAACAATGCCATTTTCTTTGGCCTGCTTTTGAGCTTTATAAACAAATGAGATCAGAACCCACGTGTTGCCTTCCTGCTTCTTTTGCTGCATGGGTTGCGTCAGAGATGACATGGTGAGGCTGCGCGTGCGCGCGGGCTCACGCATTTTCATGTGACCCGGTATTGCACTGTGTGAATGCACCAGTTTCTTCCCTGCTCCCCACCCCCACCCCCACCCCCATGAGGGCCATTTTTCTCAGTTCCCACTTTGGAGCTATCATGAACAATGCTCTCTGAAAGCTATACCTAGGATGGAGCGACAGACCACAGGGCTTTTCTTACAGGGATCATGCCTTTCAGGATATGGTTACCCGGCACCCTCTTTCCTGCCCAGCTGGTTTTGGGGAGGTGCCCTTTCTGAAACGTTGTGAGAAGACAGGTGCAGGATGTAGGTGGGCATGGGGGCAGGGTTACTTGCTTTTCCCCCACAGGCCAAGGAAACCGCTTAGGAGAGGACTGGGGTCTAATTTTCTGGCCCAATGACACCTGGCGCTGCATAGCTGGGAAGGTGGGGGGTGGATAGAGAACATGTCCCAGCTTCAGGTGCCAGACTCCCTCTGTGTGGATGGCAAAGTGTGGCCAGCTCGTGTGTGTGTGTGTGTGTGTGTGTGTGTGTGTGAGAGAGAGAGAGAGAGAGAGAGAGATCAAACTCCTTCAGCCTCACATAGAGAGGGAACTTTCTTTCTGATTCTGCAAGTCCCCGATAGCTTGTCTCACAGTTAAGTTTTCACTGCATTCTAGGGCTCTTCCCAAGTGAGCACAAAGGGTGAGGGTCAGGGCTTCTAACCAAAACCCATCTTAAAATGACAGGTGTTCATCATTTTTAGAAAGTTCTCAGATTTGCATAATTGGGGGGAAATAACTCTTAAGTGTGGAAACAAGCAGTCTGTAATGGACACATCGTCTACTGCCACCGCCTAGAAAATAAAAAGACATTGCGATTTTTCATGGTTCATCTGCAACACACAGCTTTTGGAGGTGGACAGGTGCTGGTCAGCAGCACTTTGGAGTTACCACGGGTCACCAAGAGACGCCCCAAAATGACAACTGTCCTAGCCCTTCACTTTGCATTGGTGAGTTTTAAAAGGGTGTAGTCAGGTCTGTAGAGAACCAAACGCAGGTAGATGTCAGTATGACCCAGACTGCAAATGCCTTTCTTACCTAGAGTGAGGACTTCACTGTTATCATCAGCCCAGGCCACTGGCACCACACTAGCAGTGTCTTTCCTCTGCAGAGAAACAGGAGGGAGGGTTGGTGGTTACAGCACCACCACGAATACACGAGACTGCATCGCGGAGATCAGCTCTGGGAGGCAGGCAATCGGATGGCGCTGGATTGAAGGAAGTTGCATGCGGTTCCAGGCACGGAGCCACGTGGCGCTTTGCCCGTGAATAAGAGGGTCCCGTGGCAGCCTAGGAGACCAGCTGGGGTCCCCATGAGCGAGTGGGGTGTGTGGGGCACATGAGGTCACCTCATGGCCAGCACCGCCTCCCCACAGCTCCCTGCCGGAGTGTGCTGAGTTCTGGCTTCCACAGAGCTCCACGTGCCTTTTATACCCACATCTTCTATACGGGGGCTCTGTTCCCTGCCCTGCGGCCGCCATAGCCCAGCAGCTGATGATCCGCCATAGCTACACTCTCCCTTCCTTGATGCAATCCTTGAAAATTATAATCAGGACATAAATATGTTAATGATTAAGCGGAGCTAACGATGAAGCCCAGATCTTCACATGGGCCCTTTTGAGTCTCTGCTGCGGCAGAAGTGAAATTGGCAACTGCTGCCATACAGGAACCAGGCGAAGGTTTGCAGCCCCTTGGAAAGGAGCCCCAGGGCATCGGCGAGGACAGGTACTGCCTCTAGTCCTGTGGCTGCCCAACACACCTTCCCTCCTCTCCTCGACTGCTCCCTGCTCTGCCCCGCCCAGCCCTGACCTCGCCTGCTGCCCCGTGTTCGTTGGTACTTCCCAGCACGGCACCTCCCGCCCACGGCTTCCTCACTCACCCTGCCTTTGGGTCTGCCTGAGTGTCACATGCACACGCTCTGTCCTATCGTCAGTGACACACGCACTGTGTGTGGTCCCCGTGTGTCTCTCACACAGACATGCACACACAGTTGGAAAGGAAAATAAAAATCTCAGGACTCCACCACCCCACACTCCTCACTCATAGGCAAAGCTGAAGTCCCCGGGGTGGGAGGTCCAGTCCTGCCCCAGCCTCTCCACGTGACCAGCGGTTGTCACACAACACACCAGCCAGGTCCCCAGGAAAGGCAAAGGCCTCAGGCATCCACGGGGTCTGCCCCTCTCGGACCGCTCAGCTCATGACACTCTTGGCCGGCCTCCCACACACAAGAATTTGCAAACTGTACCTTTGGGTCTGCAGTCTACGCCGCCTCGCTCCTAAAACTAAAGCCTGTCTGGCTCCACCCTGATAATGTGGATTACAAGCTAGCATTCCTCTGCCCTCTCCCTAGAGACTTCTGCATAGCTGATTTTTCCTTTGCTCCCCCCTTTGCTCTTCAAACATTCACCCGTCTTATGTAAAAATGTAGATTTTACTAAGACACTAAGGATGTAACCACTTGCCTCCCCGCCCGTCTGCACCTTCCGACACGCCCCCACCGCCCCTCTAAGGGAATGGATAACCACTGAGCTCCTCACAACCACTTTGCAAAAACAGCCACAAACGTGCCTGGGGCTCATGCTTTCCCTGGACGCTCCCTAACAGTGGCGTGAGAAACCTCGACCAGTTGGGAGTAGTCTTGCCTTGATCGCTCATGTCAGCTGTCACAGGTATTCCCCAGTGATTCGTGAAGCAAAACCTCAAACACGGAGCAAGCTGGAAAGAACTTGGGGAACACCACGCACCGCCACCTGGGTGTGGCCCTCCCTGACATCCCGCCCCTCAGTCCTCACGCGAGACCGTCCACACGCCACGCTAGGTTCGGTGCATTTCTGAGCTGGCTGCAGCCCCAGTGCCTCACAATAAACCACACCTGTTTTTTGTGCCCTACCTGCTTCTATCTCATGTGCCCCATGGTTAAGAGTATTTTCCGTCCCTAATGTTTTCTTCTCTTCCACGCCTACATGCGTTGCCATTTGAGCGGCATCCTTGGATACCCTGTTTCTGCAGACTGAGTGTGTGTGTCTCTGTCCTCCCGAGTTCAAATGCTGAAATCCTAACCCCAGTGCAACGGTGTGAGGATGTGGGGCCTTCGGTACGAAGCCACCTGGGCGGACCTTGGTGAATGGGGTCTTTGCCCCGACAGGAAGAGACATACATGAGAGCATGACGTCTGAGCTCTCTGCTCCCTGCCAGGGCAGGACACAGCCAGCTATAAACCAGGAACCGGGCACGCATCTACTGGCACCTTGAGCTCACCCTTGCCGGCCTACGGAACCGTTAAAAATAAGTGTTGGTGGTTGCAGCCGCCTGGCCTGTGGTATTTTTGTTGCAGCAGCCCGAATAGCCTAAAACACCTGGAAATGCTTGCAGGGAGTCACACGGGCCATGCACAAGGTTGTTGCAACCCTTCAATTTGGAGGAAAACGTAAGAGGCTGAATGCGGCACTTGCGGGCAGGTGGAGAGACAGGCGGCAGCTTCCGGCTTACCTGAATCTCCGAGGGGGACGGAGGCAAGGAGATGTTACTGGGAGTGAGGCTCAAGTGACGGAAGCTGTGCCGCGGCTCCTCATGGGCACCTCTGCTGGGACAGGCGGGCAGAAGGGAACACGTCAGCAAAGGAGGGCCTTGCTTTGGGGAGAGGGGTCTTACTGAGCCGCCGGAGCGTGCAGGCGCTGTTCTTGGGGCTGTCCTCTTACCCACAGACACTGAATGGGTGGACTCTTTCCTCCCTGGCATAATGTCACTCACACGATTTAGCCAGAGAAAGTCTCTGATCTCCGGAAACCGGGGGCGGTGACGTGCTGCAGCGGGCACAGCCTGGCTCTATAAAGTGCCCGCTTGGTCAACTTGGAGCCAAGCTGTTAGGCTACCCGAGAAACATTCTCTGTAACCTAGAAAAGCCCTCGTGGCCACGTACTGCCTGTTGCATCCAGAGGATTTGCAAACCTACACTGCTGCTGCTGCTGCTGCTGCTGCATCACTTTCCACACAATCCACCCTTTCGGGGAAACGAGGCTAGTTCGTTCTCCTGCTGGAGGAGACGGGTCTGAAACTGGAAAGGCTTTGCAACAAGGAGGACTGAACCCGTCGACCACACGTCATGGTTTTTCTTTTGAGGGAACGGGGTTCAGAACGTGCAGAGCTTAAAGAGCAGGCTCCTCACGACGTAGGTACAAGGTGGTTATAATTTTATAAAAGAAGACATTATGGGTATGACACACATGGGAAGACGTTTAAAAGGGGAGATTTAGGGGGTCGCAGCCAAAATGCCGGCGGTAGCTATCGGTGCGTGCAGGGGTGTGCAAACGACTTGGGTCTACGTCAGAATTTGCATTGATTTTTTTTTTCCAAAACGGAAGTTTTGAATTGTTGTTCCAATTAGGTTCCTGTCATTCTTACCAGGAAGAAATAAAAACCAAACACCCTTAGGCAGACCATGAAAGGGGGGATCGGGCTCACAGATCTCTGGATGAAGAACACGCACAAGCATGGTCTCCCTGAGCATCAGTTTAGACGTTAGTTATGAAAGAAGGGAGAGGAAAATCCTTGTGGCTTTTGCAGTAAGCTGCGTGAACGGCCAGCCACGCTGATCATGTTAAGTGGAACTCTCTTATTTTCTTATTATCCCATTATCTAAAAATTGCCCATCAGAGATGAATTATTTCCCAAAGTCAACCGAGGGAAGAAGGGTGTGTCTATTCTCCAGACAGATATATATATATATAAAAAACTCCAGGAAGCGGACGACTTACCTGAATGGAGGTGAACGCGTTTTGACTTCCTTCTGGGGGGTGGGAGCGTAAATGAAAATTGAGAAAATGAAAAGAAGAAGTCGTTTTCCGTCTGAGCTTATTCTTACACAGACACCCCAGAGTCCCAGGGCCATACCGAGGGTGGCGCAAAGGACAGTGGCTCTGGGGTCCCCAGCCCTGGACAGACTTGAAGGGGGGTGGGGAGGACAGGGGTACCTCCTCTTCTTCCTTCTCCTCCGTTTCGCCTTGCTCCTTCTCCCTTTTCTGCATGATGTACTCAAAGGTGCTGAGCTTCTTGGAGACTAGACGGGGAAGGAGGACAAGCCAGGGTCACCACCCTACGGCTGTGCAGGAAACCCGACAGCTCAGCTCTGCCCACCACGGGGCCCCGTGAGGCCAGGCACGTGTGGGCAGGACCCTGCCGTCCGGAGACACACACACGGGGCTCTGACTCAGTGGGTTCTCCTGTTCTGGGTGGGGCGGGGTGACACTCGCTGGGACTCTGAGGTCTGAGAATGAGAGATTCCTTGATAAAGGAGGAGAAAAATTCTGCATGGGGGTAAAACTCCGGGGAAGACATCGCTGTTGGTGAAACCCCAAGCCATTATACACGTTAACAGAAACTTCTAGACGGATTTTTAGAAAGTAGTATTTTCTAAAATTCCTTGCGATGACAGAGGCAGAGAGGGTTTTGAAGGCAGCCCGAGCGACGACTCACTCTTCAGGGTTTAAGCTGCAAGGAAGGGGCCAGGAGCTGCCCAGCCCAACCCCGGCCGGCCAGGCGGCCAGGTTATCTGCAGACCAGGCAACAGGCGACCTCCCACCCAGACAGACGCACCTTGCCGAAATCGTGTCTGAGGCTGCAATTCTATTCCAGCCGATAAACATACACCAAGCACCTTCTACACACAGGCACTGACCGTTTCATTCATAGTGAACATTCCAGAAATGTAACTTTGAGTATTGTGCCCATACATACGGTGGAATCCAGTTGTCCTCATCATACTTGCTTAAAACATTCCAAGCCTCAGGCAAGACGACGCTAACCCCAAGATTTACATTAGACGTGTGTGCGGCGGCTCACGCCTGTCATCCCAGCACTCTGGGAGGCCGTGGCGGGCGGATCGCTCGAGGTCAGGAGTTCAGAGACCAGCCCGAGCAGGAGCGAGACCCCCGTCTCTACTAAAAATAGAAAGAAATTAATTGGCCAACTAAAAATAAATGGAAAAAAACTAGCCGGGGGCGTGGTGGTGGCGCAGGCCTGTAGTCCCAGCTACTCGGGAGGCTGAGGCAGGAGGATCTCTGGAGCCCGGGAGTTTGAGGTTGCTGTGAGCTAGGCTGACGCCACGGCACTCACTCTAGCCAGGGCAACAGAGCGAGACTCTGTCTCAAAATAAATAAATAAATAAAATATAAAATAAATAATAATTAAAAAAAAGAAACGCATGTTCTAGGATACTCTCAGGTTGTATGCCGATGGTGGTCTGTGGGAACAGGAACTTCCTCAATGAGGGGGATTATTCTGCACCAGGGGGTCTCCCCACAACCATGGGTGGGGGCTGCCCTGGGAGAAGACGGGCCTGGGTGAGACCAGAGCCCACCGTGCCTGGCTCCCTCCACTCCCAACAGGGGATGGACAGGGTGGTCACAGGAGCCCGGAGTCGCTCCGGCCTGGCCGCTGGCCCCTGGGACATCCTCTAACACGGCAGCCCAGGGGCTGACCCGCCGTGGCAGATACCTTGTGTACGTCATGGACGGACACGGTTGCTACTTCCAAAAAAAAAAAAGGCTTCCTGCGGTGGGAGAAACTCCACCACCTTGCCCCGTCCCTGCCAAACTCAGCACCTGCCAAACGCTCCGCTCTGCCCTCACTGCTTGTCAGCCTGCAACTCCTGGGCTCCAGCGATCCTCCTGCCTCAGCCTCCCGAGTAGCTGGGACTACAGGTGTGCGCCACCATGCCCGGCTAATTTTTTCCATGTATTTTTAGTTGGCCAATTAATTTCTTTCTATTCATAGTAGAGACGGGGTCTCGCTCCAGCTCAGGCTGGTCTCTGAACTCCTGTCCACGGAGATTGCTAGAATTTCCAGTGGCTGCTTTTTAAAACCCACCTGTTCTTTCTCCGTAATGTCCCATTCTCACCTCACAGGTCCTATTCCTTTGTCTCTCTGAACATTTTAAATCTAATCCGTTTGCAAACCTCCTTGTGCTCTCTGCGGGTCTAGGAGCCTGTGTTCAGCCCCGGGCCGGACCTGCCCACACCACCCCCTGGCGGCATCTCTTTCCTTCTTCCTGTGGTGAGGCGGCCACGTTGCCTGTTGTGACGCCAGGTCTGGCAGGGGCCGGGCCAGCGGCCACCAGCCTGGGACTTGGGGGACGGGGGGCTGGGGACACGCACTCAGGAAAAGGTGGAACAGGAGCAGGCGCCAGATGACGAGAATGCTTCCGACGGCCAGGAAGATGGTCAGGAACAGGATGCACAGGATGACGGTGACGTTCACGTTGACAGGGAACAAGGGCAGGAAGAGCGGCCACAAGTCCAGGTCCACCTCCGCATCTGTGCACACAGAGGATTCCGGCTGTCCGGCCCTCGGAAGACCGAACCCCTGTCTGGGGAGGGGCGGGTAACACCCCGCCCCACCCCGCCTCACCCCGGCATGCCTGCCTCAGCCAGCCCTGAGGCTGCCCGAGACTGCTGTCTCCTTCCCCACTCTGGAGCCGGGGAGGGAAACTGAGGACCCAGATTGCAGACCTGCCCCCAACACTCACGACCCCCCCCCACAGGCCCACCTTCCTCCCTGGGCCCCTCCATTCTCAACCAGCCTCAGATATAGGACATGGGGGGTGGCCACAGCTGTCACCTTGCAGACATCCATCTGCTCTGCACTCAGATATAGGACGAGGTGGGGGCCACAGCTGTCACCTTGCAGACATCCATCTGCTCTGCACACACACCCGCCCGGGCTCCTGGGCATGCTTAGCAGAGAGCTCCCTTGGCGCCCACACCCTGCACCACTTGCCCCTTCCTTCTGCTCTCCCCTCTCTCTCCTGCAGGACGGGCAGCCTCCTTTCCTGCACCCAGGCACTGGGCAGCGCAGGGTCGCCTGGACGCCTGGCCTCCTGAGCCTGCAACCCGCAGCCCCAGGGTCCCACGCCGCCTGCAAGGGGCGCCCAGCCGGCCTCGGCCTCTCGCTGGTGCAAGCTGGGCTGACCCCGCCCAGACTGGGCACTCTCGCCCACCGCGGAGGGGGCTGGAGCGCGGGGCGGAGGCCGGGTGTGGACGCGGCAGCCCCAGAGCTCGGCGGCAGCAAACCTGTCAGCTCCGCGTTCTGCTGCAGCTGTTCGGGGTCCATCAGAAGTTGCACGAGGAAATAGAGCAGCACGGCCATGATGAAAATGAGGTTGAACGCCGCCGAGACGACGGAGCCGAAGAAATAGCTGCGGGAAGAGGCAGAGGCTGAGCTCGGGGCGCAGGGGCCAGCCCGAGGTCCAGACGGCCACTGCAAAGAGAGGGAAACTTAGGGCCCGGAGCAGTGGCTCACACCTGTCATCCCAGCACTCTGGGAGGCCGAGGCGGGAGGATCGCTCGAGCTCAGGAGTTCAAGACCAGCCTGAGCAAGAGCGAGACCCTGTCTCTACTAAAAAAAAATGGGAAGAAATTAGCTGGAAAACTACAAATATATATATAAAAAGCCGGGCGTGGTGGCGCATGCCTGTAGTCCCAGGTACTCGGGAGGCTGAGGCAGGAGGATTGCTTGAGCCCAGGAGTTGGAGGTTGCTGTGAGCTAGGCTGACGCCACGGCACTCTAGCTCGGGCAACAGAACAAGACTCTGTCTCCAAAAAAAAAAAAAAAAAAAAAAAAGATGAGAGAGGGGGCAGCTGAGCACTCTCTCTGGCCCTCCCTGCTCCATGCCCCCGCCTCCCTCTGACCATTTGTTTCCCGCTGTGTAGGCAGATGCCCCTGACTGGCCGCGACTGTCGGTCGGTCCCACCGACAGTTCCTCACTGCCTCGCAATCTGCTCAGTGCCACCTGCAAACGTGACTTCGCTGAATTCCCGCAAGGAGGCTGTGAGGAGGCGGACCAGCGCTTTTTTTGCAAGCAGGGAAACTGAGGCTCAGAGACCCCTCCTGATGTGCCCAGGCCGACTCAGTCAGCTGGGCGTGGCCGGCCCCAGGGTCAGAGCTGCTCCTGCTCTGGGCCCCTGTCCGAGGCCCCTTTCAGACATGGCACAGATAAGCAGGGATCTTCATGGGCTGATGGTCCGACAACCTGGCTCAGAACATGGGGCCTCAAGAGCCACAGAGATCCACTACCCTGTGTGCAGGGGAAATGCTCGCTCCCGTGCTCCGCAGTCTGGCCACCTGCGCTCACAGGTGACAGCCGTGTGACCACCTGCGCTCACAGGTGACGGCCTTGGCACAGAGGAGGCAGATGGGCCCAGGACAGCGAGTTCAGGGACCTCGGCCAGCCTGTGACCCTTGGGCGGGGCTGGCACCTGGGTGTCCGTAATGGGGTCCCTAAGGATTGGCTCTGTGGGATGAGCCGGACCTGGTGAGTCCAGGGGCTGCCGCACAAACCCGAGTCAGACCCAGACCAGGAGGCCAGAGGGGCAAGGACGCTGGGCTCTGCCAGGCAGGGGGACAGGGAGGGGGTCCCAAGAAAACCCCTCCTGCTCACGGCCCTGCAGTCTGTGGCCCTCTCTGCCCTCTCGCTCATAAGGAACCCCTGCCCTCAGACGCCTCCCTGCTTCCTGCCTGGGCCCCGGGGCCTCTAGGGGGCCGTCCTTGCCACACCCCCCACCCCCCCACCTCACCTGTAGTTCCTGGTGCCCACGCAGTTGTTCAGCAGTTTACAATGGTGGTCGAACCCTGTCACGCACTTGTTGCACATCTTGCAGTGTTTCGATTTTGCCCCTCTGGAAAACAGAATTGGGGAGGCGTCCGTCAGCCTCGCGTGCAGGCTAGGGGGAGGTCAGAGCCCCGTCCTCAGGCTCGGGGTGCCTCGGGGCATGGGAATGGGTGTCCGGCAGGGGACGGGGGGGGGGCGAGGCCTCTCCTTGAGGCCAGGGGAGGGCAGCCCTGAAGGGACACCCCCCAGCCTTCCCATGACCCCCAACACACACACACTGAGTGAGAGCCCAGGAGGAGGCCACGCCAGCCACATGGGGCCTGGCATTGAGGCTGCGGCTTGGATCTCACCATGTGCCCCAGAGACCCTGGCCATCCTCTCCTTTCCCTCTTTCCTGGGGAGGGGGCAGGAGGCTCAGCTTGGAAACCCCCAGAAAGACAGCTATCCCTGGCCCTGGACCGCAGGGGAGGGACTGAGGATAAACTGTGTCCGAGGGCCGCTGCTTTGCATCCCAGTGGGGGCAGACACGGCCCTGGAGCCCCGGTCCCACCTCTGCAGATGGGACCCCAGCAACATGCACCTCCCAGAGCGCAGCCCAGAGTTTCAATGGCAGCAGGTCCCAGAGCTGTGTGGGGACCGCCCAACACCTGCCGAGCTCTGTCCCCAAGAGGCCGGCAGCCTTTCAGGCCCCACGCCCTGGAGGCAACCCCCGCCCCCCGCCCGGGGGGCTCCGAGTTTGGGGCTACTCACACGGTGACCTCACATAAATGGCAATACTGGTCTTCTATGACGTGCTGGTGTTTTGTGCGGTCAAACAGGGGCACCGCGTCCAGATAGTTTTTCTTCATCCTCACATTAGCCTCGGCGGGATCGATCGTGATGGCGATAAGGTGGACAATGAGATGGACGGTCAGGAGTCCTCCGATCACCTGGGGGCGGGGGTCAAGGAAGAACCGGGCCCTGGCCACTGGTCAGCAGCAGTGCGGACAGTGGCGTCCTGCACCCAGCCCGGTCTCCGGAGGGGGCCCCCTTTGGCTCATTGCTGTCCCTCTCCGTGTGCCTCCCATCGAGGCCACCACATAGAAGGCGCCATCGTGCACGAGCTCAGCCGGGCACAGCCCACACAGTGAACCCAAGGAATTCCTTACATGTCGGGGGGCAGCTGGCAGGTTCGGCCCCCGGCAGAGGGCAGAGCTGTGTGCTCCCCAGTGTGGGCAGCCCGACCGACCACGACAGGCCCTGTATGTAGGCTGTGTTGGGACAGGAAGGGACAGACATCCAAACCCCCAAACCCCATCAGTCTAGGACACGAGGGTGCTCTCTCTCTGGGGCCTCAGACGCTTTCCTGAGGTCCCTCTGACTCTTGGGGTCCCTCCCACTCTGTCTCAGGGGCTGTCAGAATACGTGTCTCTCTCTCTCTCTCTCTGGCCCCCTGCTCTGTCTAGCCTGGCTCCAGTGGCCATATGCTAGAACAGTCTCTGTCCCCTGGAGCCAGGACACAGATGTAAAGAAATCAAATCAGCCCTCAGAGCCTCGCTGGGACCTACATGGGTTCACCTCGACCCAGAGCAGAAGGGTGGGGAGTGCAGGGGCCGCAGGTCACCCTAATCTGCCTGGGTTCAACCTCTGAGCCAGGGACTCTCCAAGGGTGGCCGGGGCTTGGCACTGGGGCCCAGGGAGCAACTCTGTCCCCAGGGAAGGGAAGATGTACAAGTACCTTCCCCGACCAAGGGCCGGCAGGGAGAGAGACATACAGCCCAGGACAGGTAACCAGGGACTGTGTCACTTGGCTGGGGTCCCCCAGAGTCACCTCCATGGGAGGGTCCCCGGGGAATCCCGGTCCCCCCAGTTAGCAAAGAGGCCGTCCCCAGGCCACCGTTGGGCGGTAGAAAGGATACAACATATGCGAGCATCTTCCAGTGGTAGGGGAGGAATGGGATGAATATCCCCAGCATGGTGACAGCCATGACGAAAATGACAGCCCAGGACGCCACCTGGTACCAGTCGCCCGGCCGGGACCAGCCGTTGACCCTGGCGGTGCGCGGCGGCAACCGTTGCGTCTTCCGCGCAGCCCCCGCCCCGGCTGCGGGTTCTATGCGCCCGTGGCTGTTCCCCCAACAGTCCATCTGCGAGGCGGAGAAGGTTGCGGGGGGCCAGGGCTTGCGGTCAGGGAGACCCCCCTGGACGGGTCTGCCGCGCAGCCCAGCGCGTCTGTGGTCACCACCTGTCCACCCCGAGTTCGCGGGGAACACGCACCTGGACCAACGTGCGCTGGGCCACGGGCGATGCGTGTGAATCGGCGCAGTTTTGCGCACGCAACAGAGAAATCTGGGGAGAAGGGAGGGCCGGTGAGGCCATCGCAGGGGGTCCGCCCAGCGACCCACTGCGTCCCGCCCCCTCGGGACGGTTAGGGTTAGGGTTAGTGTGACCCTCTCTCAGACATGTCTATAAAAAAAAATCAAATATTCTTTCCACCTGGTTTGAACTATGTGTAAAAAGAAAAAAAAAATATGTAATTTTCTAGTTCAAATTCGTATCTCTCTTTTTTTTTTTTTCTTGAGACAGAGTCTCACTCTGTTGCCCGGGCTAGAGTGCCATGGAGTCAACCTCGCTCACAGCAACCTCAAACTCCTGGGCTCAAGCGATCCTCCTGCCTCAGCCTCCAGAGTAGCTGGGACTACAGGCATGTACCACCGTGCCCGGCTAAATTTTTCCTATATATTTTTAGTTGTCCAGCTAATTTCTTTCTATTTTTAGTAGGGACGAGAGTCTCCCTCTTGCCCAATCGGGTCTCGAACTCCTGAGCTGGAGCGATCCTCCTGCCTCGGCCACCCAGAGTGTTAGGCGTGAGTCACCGCGCCCGGCCAAAATTCCTATCTCTTGGGAGGTCAGACCATTTCGGAGAAACCTGGACCCCAAAACACCTGGCTGGTCGATAGCGGGGGGTGGTCCCGCCTCCCTCGCGTTTCCAAGGGCAACGCCTTTTCCTTGGGGGCTGTGACCCCAGAATTAAAGCAGGGCCCGGGGTAGGGGGCAGAGGGGCGCAGGGTCACCCTCCCCCTGACCCCCCACCACGAACACAGCCCCTCACAAACTCGCCACCCGCAACCCCACACCTCTTACCACGGCGCGACCTGCCTTGGGGCCCTGCCCTATTCATTCCGCAAGTGTTGACCGTCTCCGAATGCAGTCCGAGGGAAAGGGACGGCTCTGATTCTCGGTAGGGAAGACCTGCATCCTCGAGGCCCCGTCCCTGTGGCTCCGTGTCCCGCCCCCCAGGGCTCCCGCGACCACCACCTGCCCGTCCTCACGTTCATTCGCTCCTCTGTGGCCCGAGCAGAAGACACACGGAGCCCTCCCACCCACCCCAGCCACCCCCCGCGCCCCCTGCCCCTCACCTCTCCGGGAAGTCCTGGCCACGCAGCGAGGACGAACACCTCCAGCTCAGACGAATCTCAGCTTAGGAGTGGCAGGTGGCCTGCCCGTCTCCGCGGTAGTCATAGAGCCCGGGGACAGGTCACAAAGGCGGTCGGGGAGGGCGGGGCCCTGCTGAGGGGGGGGCGGGGCGGGGGCGGACACCTGGCTGGAGCGCTTCGTCATGGGGGTGGGGGTTCCAGGGTGGGGCCCGCTCACCTGCCGCCCTTGAACCCGCCTTACCTGGTCCCGAGGAGAAAGCATATCACTGAGAAGTTGGTGCAAAAGCGATTTGGGTTTTAGACCCGTGAATTTTAATAAATCATCATAACCAGGCTCAAACGCATCTTTATGAATCGAAATAGGAACACGTAAATGTATGTTTTTTTTAAAAAAAAAAAGTCTAAAAAGTTTAATCTGACTTAAAGGAAATGGAATGGTTAAACCTAAAGCGGCACCTCCCTGTTTTGGGAATATTAGGCAGCGAGGAAAAGGAAACTTTAGGAGACTATTGATACATTCGACAGCTTGAGTGAATCCCAAGTTTGCCAAATTCAAAAGGTCACGTATGACAGGACTCCACTTATAGGACAATCTCAAAGTGACAAAATTGTAGTGATAAATAAGTTTGCCAAATTCAAAAGCCCACATATGATTAAGGCTTCACTTACAGGACAATCTCGAAGTGACAAAATCGTAGTCATAAACAAGTCTGCCAAATTCAAAAGGTCACATATGATAAGACTTATAGGACAATCGCAAAGTGACAAAATCGTAGTAATAAATAAGTTTGCCAAACTCAAAAGCCCACATATGATAGGACTCCACTTATAGGACAATCTCCAAGTGACAAAATTGTAGCAATAGGAGTCATAATTAGCGATTGCCATGCATGTGGGAAAGGAGGAGTTTTCACTTACGAAGGGGGACTTTTGTAGTGATGGAATGGTTCTGTCTTTGTACTAGTGGTTTCTCAAAGCTACACACGGGAAGAGAACATATTAATAGCACTGTTGGTACCAGCTGCGGCATGGAGAAACTCCAGGCTTTACCTTGTTTGCGGACCTCTTGTTACGGTCGCAGTACATGTCTGATGCACCTGTTTGAGAGGAGCAAGTCTGGGGAAGGCAGGTGCCTTCCTGCCTTCTCAGAACGAGAGAACGGGATTGGGACGAAGAAGGTCTTGCCCGTGCAAATGATGAGGAGTGTGGCTGGATTGCAGGCGTTAGGTAGAAGGGCTTGTAATTTAAAGTTTAAACCCAGGAGTAACAAGACTAAACTCACTCCCAGCTCCGGTGGGTGGTGCCTCCCCCGGGATCCCATCTCTGGCTGTTCAAAGCCACCTTGATCTTCCCCTCGTTGGGAGACATGGTGGGTTAGAAGACCGATCAGGACTGCATCTTTGCTCTGCTACTTCCCAGCGGGAAAACGTCGATCGGGTGAGACTTGCAGCGCAGCTTCAGGGAGGTGGAGGAAGTGGAGTGGGCATGGAGCTCTCTCCTTCCATGACGTGACCACGTGGCCAAAATGAGGTGAGGTGCAAAGACAGCGGACAGAGCACACCTGCACCCAGATGTCTTGTAGAAGAATCTGGAGGAGAGCTCCCTGTTTTCCTCTTTTCAACTTTGGTGGGATCCATGAAGGATTTCAAACTCCCTGGAGAATCCACATGCAGGAGAACACACAATGGCCTGTGTCCATTCAGGTGTAGTGACATAAAAAAAAATATATATATATTAATTGATTGATTGAGACAGAGTCTCACTCTGTTGCCCAGGCAGGCTAGAGTGCCGTGGTGTCAGCCTCGCTCACAGAAACCTCAAACTCCTGGGCTCAAACGATCCTCCTCCCTCAGCCTCCCAAGTAGCTGGGACTACAGACACACACCATCATGCCTGGCTAATTTTTTGTTTCTATTTTTGTTGCCCAGCTAATTTTTTTCTATTTTTAGTAGAGATGGGATCTCACTCTTGCTTAGGCTGGTCTCAAACTCCTGACCTCAAGCGATCCTCCCACCTCGGCCTCCCAGACTGCTGGGATTACTGGCTTGAGCCACCGTGCCCAGCCTAACGTTTTAATATTTTTTGGAGCATCATTTTAAGCGCAATAAAAATGAACGTCGATAAATTATTTCTCTAGCGAAGGTGTATTTTAAACTGAGACCTTTTATCTGGAGATTTTCAGCTATACGAAGCAAGATAGATTTGGAATTTAAGAGAAATTGCTTGCCATAGGAAGTCTTATATCAGAGTCATTTCTACATCTTAATTTTTTTATTATTGGTCAAATAATAACAATCTAGTATAGGCTGGAAAATATCACCATTATATATATATTTGTATATATATATATGTTCATATTATATCCTAGCACATAAAAATTTGGGATTGATTTAATGGTCACATCTTTGACCATCTTTTCAATCATAAAAATACTAAAATAAATTTATTCAGGATTTGTTTTTTCTGATGACTTTCAGATTACTTGCTTCTACATTGTTCAGACTCTACTTTTCTTTCCCACAAAAGTTCATGGGTTTTCTGGCTTTAGATTTAAAAAGTCAGAGAATGGGTAAAAAAAAATGTATAAAAAGGTTAAAATAATATAAGCCCTTCCTAAGGCTGCCAGCTAATTATATATGTGGTCCCCGGAAAAGGAAAAGGCCAGGTCAGCCGGAGGACAGTTTGTTTTCTCAAGTCCGTAAAGTAATCGCTTTAATTTTCAGGGCTACAGACGGTGCCTATCCGTAACAAATGGACTAAAATGCTTGCAGCTCAGTGTGTGCATTTTGCCTTCCCCACATCAAATGCCAGAGACTGCAAAAGCAGGAGCATTAAGGTTTTATCACTGCTTCCTTTCATCTTGCTTTGTGTGTGTGTGTGTGTGTGTGTGTGTGTGTGTTTACATGCGATCCCTCTCCTTGTGGGTTCAACAGAGATCCCAAAACCCTAGAATACATTTTCAGCTGGCAGGTTTTCACTGATCTTGCATTCTAGAAGGGAAGGCCGTATAGGAAAAGATGCAATATTTGGTGCATGTAACAACCGAATGAGCCCAGGTGTTGCAAGGAAGGGGGACAGATTAACTGCCTGGTGGAAAGGGCTTTCTGATGCACCTGCTAGGGGACCACCCACGGGCACTCCGGGGAGAGGAGGCAGGGAAGGGGTGCAGAAAAGCCCTGAGCAGAGCGGCCCGATCAGAGAACAGCCAGTGCTCTGAGCCAGGTGCTGGACCCATGAAGCCAGAGCTGCCTCTCCCAGTGTCAATGTTGCAGAATGGACGGGGACAGACAGAAAAAAAAAAAGTTAAGGCAAACAAGTGTCAGGCAGGGCTGACCACACGGGTCTGTGTTGACTGGGTGGAGGGTGGCTTTGGCAGGGGCAGCCCTGAATGCCTGTGGAGGTTAAAATAAGAAGAGGCAACGTGCATGGTGTTTTGCTTTTATTTCTCTGCAGATGTGGCTTTGGAAGAACACAGTGACCCTTCCCTCTCCTGTCTTCCCTCAGACTTGTGAGCTGATGTTCTTCTTGGTAAAAAAAAAATAATAATAAAGGAAACATAGAAACCTGGAGTCTGGGAGCAGAGTTAGAGTTAGGGTTAGTTGTTTCTTACACCCTTTCTTTCATTCCAGGTGCTTTCTCCTGCAGCATTGCCTGAGAGAAAGGATTGCATGCAGGTAGTTTATTTGAAAATATAAGTAAAGAAGTGCAGAGTGAAGGTGGGGGACAGGGAGGGAGGAAGAGTCCGAGAAAGGGATTTTTTTTCTTATTTCAGCATATTATGGGGGTACACATGTTTAGGTTACGTATGTTGCCTTTCCCTCCTTCCCCCCTGGAGTCAGAGCTTCAATCCTGTCCATCCCCCAGACGGTGCACATGGTACTCATTATGTATGTGTATATACCCATCCCCTCATCCCCCAATTGCCCGACACCTGATAAATGTTATCTCTGTATGTAAACTTAGGTGTTGATCAGTTGATACCAATTTTCTGGTGAGTCCATGTGGTGCTTGTCTTTCCATTTTTGGCATACTTCACTTAGTAGAATGGGCTTCAGCTCCATCCAGGATAACACAAGAGGTGCTAGATCACCGTTGTTTCTTAGAGCTGAGTAGAACTCCATGGTGTACATGTACCACATTTTTTTAATCCACTCATGCATTGATGGGCACTTGGGTTGTTTCCACATCCTTGCAATTGTGAATTGTGCTGCTATAAACATTTGAGTGCAGGTGTCTTTTTTATGGAGTGTCTTTTGTTCTTTTGGGTAGATGCCTAGTAATGGGATTGCTGGATCAAATGGTAGTTCTACTAACGAGGAAAGGGATTTTTAGTGGACTTAGGGTCGGCTGTTCCATCTCCTGGGTACTTGGAGATATATGTATTAAGTGTCACCACTGCAGACGTGCAGATGAAAAACTGAAACGTGGAAGCACTGAGGGTAAGTGCCCTTCATCTATTGGATCAACCTGACCCCTAAATGCATGCACTGCCTCACATTTTCTGTTTGTCCCCGAGAGGTTGCAGAATTCTACATCTTTGGAAAGATGCTGCCTAATGCACCTGCCGAGTACACAGCAAGACCAGCGTGGAGTTGTGCCCCAAAGCAACACTCGTAAGAGGCAGAACCGAAGGACTTTGAAGAGATGCACAAAGGTACCCCAGAGAGTTCGTGGGAATCCTTTTAAATGTGCTTTTTCTTCTTCAGCATTTAGAGACTATTACCGTAATTGTTCAGTCTACCCGGCCGTGAAAAAAAAAAAAAAAAATCAATAAATATCAAAGAAAAATTATCAGAGAGACGGTACTTTCTTTCTACCTCCTAATTCATATTATATTGACATTAATTTTCTTTACTTTATAAATCAATAATGAAAAGGTAAATAGTGAATGTCTGCACACTTAATAAAAACATAAACATGCATAGCTAAACAACTCACCGGTTGCAGGAGAGATCATTACAGAATTTTAAAGTATTATGAGAACTGAATAATAATGGATCTGCTACATATTAAAATACTATATTGAAGTAAAATGTGTTCATCCAGGAAATTATATCCTTGTGAATTTTG